GAGAGAGAGAGAGAGAGAGAGAGAGAGAGAGAGAGAGAGAGAGAGAGAGAGAGAGAGAGAGAGAGAGAAAGAGACCGAGCAACGGCCATATGAAGCTCGATTCCGAGAAGATGCGTCGCAACAGCCATATGTTGCCCGACTGCTGGGCAGACACGTACAGGTCGGCGGATGAATCTTCCCTGACGGAAGGGAGGATACACGGCCCTCATCCGTCGAGCTGTCCGTGGCCCTCTCTCTCTCTGTCTCTCTCTCTCTCTCTCTCTCTCTCTCTCTCTCTCTCCAACAAAAATAAAAAACAAAAAAAAGGTCTGCATGTCGAGAAAAACGAAGCTAAGGGCGTACTAACACTAGCAGTATCTCAAATGTATCTGACTGCACTCACGCCCTACCTGGATGTATCTGGCCACAGTTCCGTCCAAATATATGCAAGAACATAGTAGTGTATGCCCTAAGGGCCGCGCTCCAACTACTGCACAAAGCACAAAAATAATGCAGTGTATCTTTCAGTGTTACAGCGGAAGATTCACTGCCGTTTCTATGGATTTCGTGACCTTCTTTTTTTTTTTTTTTTTTTTTTGCTCTTTGCTGACTTGTTGTGTGTGTGTTCCTTGTCAGATTCGCTGTGCTAGTTGGCCGAGGTCTGCCCGAGGTCCGAATGGCTGGTTGGGACCGAATTGAACCAGCCTGTGTTTTCACTTCGCCGCCCGGCCCACCTTTGAACCCGGTAGGCCGCCATCTCAAAACGAACGGGCCCAACAGTTTGAGACTGCCAAGCCTGTACCGGCCCTCTGCCGAACGGCCCAGGCCCGTTCGCAGTTCACTGCACACAGTGAACAGTGCCAGGCAGTGAACTGGTGGTTTAAGACGATGACTGTCGGGCAGGCAGTAGAAAGTTAAGAGTTGTCGGGGGAAACAGCGGGGGACCGGTGGGGCTGCGCGGGGGGGGTTGGGGCTCGGGCGTTAGTTCCTAACGAGGTATTGACGGGGACCGACGCGGCTTGGGGTCTCCCCAACGTTGGAAAGGGCACTTGAAGCCAGTTCCCCCAGGAACTTTCCAGGGACGATATCCCTTGCGTTGAATACTTCGACGGCCTTATCCTGCCCTTGTCGTATCGGCCAAGGCCCGCGCTATGAGCGCGCGCGAGCAAGCCTCGCCCGGCTTACGCGGGGCTATGGCGCCTCAGCTAGGACGTTGTTTGTCATTGTCAGGGCGGCTTCGTCACTTTCGAAACAAACACAGCGTTCACATTCGCCCGCGTGGGTGTGGAGGGCCGCGGGCGCGAAGACGAAGCTTAGAGCAGCTCTAGCGCTAACTCGCCCGCGTGGGTGTGGAGGGCCGTGGGCGCGAAGACGAAGCTTAGAGCAGCTCTAGCGCTAACTGGAGGTGCAGGCGCAGCCAATTGCCTTCACTTCAAGTTTGTTAATACCCAAGTTGGGCTAAATCGTAAATACACCAGGCCGATAGAAAAAGGAAGAAAACAAGCAAGAAAGGATAATGGAGAAGCAGGCAAGGATCATGAGAAAGCACTGCAGTCAAGGACGAACGGTGGAAAAGGAAGGACGGCCACCACGCACTCACTTGAGCCACCAGTACCCATCCCCACTATCCTGCATGAACCTGCCAGTCAAACACGGTGCCGCAGAAAGGCTCATCCTACAGGATGTGAATCAAGGGATTGCTATCGGACTGCTTATATTTCAGGAATCCCTGCCCTGCAAAGAACTCAATTCAGAATCTGCACAGACAAGGTCCGATGTTGTAAGTTCTGGTCTAAGTCCAGATTCAGGGGTCAGAAGGGTCTCAGAAAAGCCCTTTGGCCACCAGGTACACGGTCAAGGGTCAACTTTCGGGACACCAGGAGTCAGGCCCAGCTCAGAGATTTCTCGAAGTCAACCATGGCCACAAATCTGATGCACAATCAAAGGTTGTCTGTGCGGTTCCAGAAGTTTCTAGGGTCTACTGGGCCCAGGCACACGTTGGCCAACAGACAAATTCTACTTATGTCCCTGTCTGGCCTGACCTTTCACAGAAAACAAAGGGCGAGCACACAGTTAGGACTCCGCATAGCAATGATCACATAGGGAAATCTCAGCAAATCAAACCATCAAGCAGCAATACTTAAAAACAGCATAATTCTGTGCAGGTCGTTGCACCTCCAAAACGAACATCCATCTGGAGCTTGAAAACTGAAGCGCTACATTTCAAAGAACAAACAGAAGTTACCGAAACATATTTGGGGTAATTAATTTCATTCATCATTTAATTTACCAAAACGCCGAGCACAATGAATCCCTCCTTCAGCGACACAAGCGTCCCACGAACGCTAGCTGGGGCCGTTTCAGCAATATACATTGGAGCACCATGCATTGCCTGCAAAAGAAACAGGACATATCACATGATTCATATTACACTGTTAGCAATTCAGTGATCAGAAGTCCTACGTAACATGAGAACAAAAACATTCAGCGGCCTCAACTGTTTTGTAATCTAAGCAAGGATGGTCCTTTGGKGGGRGGKGGGGRGGGGGGGGGGGGMAGGCGGGRGGAAGGGTGGTCACTCAACGCCTCAGTGAATCAGGAGTCATTTTGCTTTCTCAGGGTGGCTGAAGAGGGCTGTCCTATCAGCAGCAGCGGCCATCAAGATGTTGTTGGACTCAAAGGACACAAAGGACTAAGGACTCAAAGGACTCCCCCCCCTGCACGCCCTTGAAAAAGAACAGAAAACCAACACCTGTATGAAACCCTGTTGCAAGGTACACCCTAGAACTCTCCAACTCCAGACCTCAGACTAGGCATGCTATTCACCCCAAACTAAGGTTCAGACCCCGGTGGCACAATTGAGCATCAAAACAGTTGTTTACCTACCTACCCCTGCACTTTTCTCCAGAAGCGCGTAACTACCCACACCATTCTAAGTCCAAACTCTCTGGCTGCAAAGTTCTGCAGACTCAAACAGCAGACTCAAATAGCTATACCAAACAGGCCTAGCTCAGTTGGTACACCCATGAACTGTTGACATACAGATCCAATGAGCTAGACGAACAAAGTTTTGAATTACCTGGGGTTCCAGGCCATCACCCTTTCCCAAAAAAACAGAATAGGCATGCCTTTGCTCCCCAAAGGCAGTTTTCACTGGCTCAGCTGCAGATTGCCTTTTCAGCCTGATTGACTTACCAAACCTATGGCGATGCCATATATAAGCCTGCCCATAACCAGCACAATCAAGTCTGGTGCAGCCCCCTGTACCAATGACCCCAAGAGATACAAGCTTGCAGACAAAATCAGCTCCATTCGCCTCCCTGCACATACATGTACATCGCACATGATTCACAACCCCTCAAAATTCTCAATGGCATTAAAAGACGGGCAATACTACGTGTTTGCAACTCTTTTTCATCCAACTCAATCGAATGACATTGAACTGGCACCGGTGCCACTTTGTTAGGATGTGAAAACACCCGATCCCATTCCCACCTCGTAGAGATATAATTCATAGACATTATAAGGAACACCAAAAGCGAAGGCACCTTTCTGGGTCCCTACTGACGCTGAGGTGCAAAAGCATGGGAGCTGTTCTGTGTTCAAATATACGGTCGACCGACATTCTATTCTAATCTAATTTAATAGCTGGGTAGCACCGCGTACGCATACGCGTACGTGTTTTATATATAATATAATATATTAATAATATTATATACCATTATATACCATATTAGACATATAATATATACAGTAATATAGTAAAAATATACTACTATTTCTATTATACCTTTACGGAAGACAACGGGGAGGTGGACGAGATGGCAGAGGAAGACAACGAGGGGAGGAGGAGGACGACGACGAAGACGATGTGGAGGACAAGGCGATGGCGGAGGAAGATGACTGCGGGGAGGAGCGGGTGGAAGATGGCGATGGGAAGATGGGGCAGATGGAGGAGGGCGACGATGGGGAGGAAAGACGACGGGAAGGTGCAGACGATGGAGGAGGGAAGGTGGTGGAGGATATGGAGGTGGAAGACGACGACGATGACGGGACGATGACTGCGGGGGAAGATGACTGTGGGGAGGAGCGGGTGGAAGATGGCGACGGGAAGGTGGGGCAGATGGAGGAGGGCGACGATGGGGAGGAAAGACGACAGGAAGGTGGAGACGATGGAGGAGGGAAGGTGGTGGAGGATATGGAGGTGGAAGACGAAGACGATCACACACACACATACACACACATACACACACACACACATACACACAGCGGGGCCGGGGGGTAACGAGGGGGGAGGGGGGGG